ACGTCCATTTTTACTGACCGTGACCGGTTGTCAATCGAGGTTCCCGATTGTGAGTCAAACACGGTACGGAATACTAAACGTGAAAATGATATTGTATTGATGAAATGAAAATATTCAAATTTCATTAAGCATGAAAAAGAGACCGTTTTCACGTTCACTTATACTGGTCGTTAGTGACACACAATCGGGAACCTCGATTGACATCCTGACACGGTCGAAAATCTCTGCGCGTTTAAACGCGTTTTTTCACTTTTTTGTCTGCCTGGGGTGTGGGTGTATGGGTATGAATGTGGGTGTGGGTGTGGGTGTGGATGTGGGTGGGTGTGGTGTGGGTGTGGATGGGCGTGGGTGTAGGGTGCAGGTGTGGGGTGTGGAGTGTGGGTGTGGATGTGGGTGGGTGTGGTGTGGGTGTGGATGGGTGTGGGTGTAGGGTGCAGGTGTGGGGTGTAGGGTGTGGGTGTGGGTGTACATCTTGTTTTCTGTTTATCCACACCCACACCCTTTTCGGCATAACATCAACTGGCAAGTCAAATCTAGTCAATAGTCTCATGGGAAAAAAGGTGACTGCAACAGGTCGTGGTGAAACAACACTAGAAATACAAGTATATCCAGGTACGCAATTTACTATTTGGGATTTGCCTGGTAAAAATGATGAAGTCGTTTACATAAGTATGGAATACGTATCATTCTCCAAGGCATTAACACGACGTCTCATCCTCATTCAATCCACAGTAAAAGAGAACTCCTCTATAATGAAGCTTTTCGATGAACTTGGATTAGATTATGATATTGTAGTTAACAAATTCGACGAAGTAGATGAAGATGAACAACATGCATTTCGTGAACAAGTTCATTGCGGAATACAAGAACTTGGATTGAAGAACGTAAACAAAGTATTTTTTGTAAGTGCTAAACATCCACAAATGTTTCCTGATTGGATGACTATGGTCGATTATTTGACAAACTAACAATTTCGATTGATTTAAAAACCTACTTCGTGTAAATGTATATACTCTTTTTAATGTCTTTTTGCGAATATAACAAATAATCAAGGAATGTAGCAAATTATCGACGCACAAATGTCGAAAGCTACGTGTTTACCAAAAAATAACTTCAAAAGCAAAGAGTATCGATAAAAATGTAGATTAAGAGTAGGTGTTGCAGCTCTAGACAGAAGGCAGGCCTGACGCAGAGTTCTTCTCGCTCAATCACTTGGGCTCCCCATACACACTGACTAACCACATACAAGCTACGGGAGTTATATTGTATGTCGATAATGTAATTAGCATGCTATCGGACGGGTGATCCGAGACAAACAGCCGTTAATGACTTGTTCAGGGTCATTCCATAACTGCCGATACCGAAGTTTGAACACAGTGCTTTGTGGGTACGTGCCGAACAACGTAACCACTCAACCATGGGGGCTAGGTGAGTGTGAGTGGGATGTGGGTGTGTGAGCGTGGGTGTGGGTCAAGTTTTTAATTTCTTCCACACGCACACCCTGCCGATAGCCATACTCGTACTTTTACATACACTTTCAACCTCCCGATCATCGCTTTTCTGCTGACATCAAACAAATTTAGCGAAAAAGTGATGTGTGAGAAGAAGAAAGAGAAAACCGTAGTAAGCTTGCCTGTAGTTTAAAAAGGCTTCACATTTCGATCGGCGCTTGTAAAAGAGAAAGATTTTTCGCAGAAAAAATAAACTTCACTTTAATACCAAAGTTTTAGCAACCACTCACGGAGGGTGTCTGGATGTGGATGTGGCTATTGCTACCAATGAAACGACTCATCTACACTCGCGCCTACATCTAGAGGTGTAAGCCGATTAGCGCATCGGCAGCGGCGCAGTTTAATTTTAACGCTGCACAGCGACAGTGATTTGGGTGTTACTATGACTGTGTAGATGTGGCTGTGACTGTGGCTGTGGGTGTAAATCTCTTTTCTTAATTCAAGCACGAAGAAACATTCACACACACATCCACCCACACTCACACCTCATCCACACCCACCCACACTCACAGTCACCCACCACATCCACATCCACACCCACACCTACACCCACACCCTGATTAGCGAAAGGCCGTTTACGGCCGAGCATGATTCACCTGGGGTGACGCTCACAATTTTCTAAGCTAAGAAGTTCGAAAAGTGACCCAAATTTTGAGTTTCTATGTTAAAACTCGAGAGAAATTCGTTTTACAACTATCATCCTGTAAGTCTATTCAAAGTCAAATTGCCAAAGTCTAAATCTAATCAGATGATAAAAATCCTATTTTCATCAACTTTTAGCCATTAGGAAGGTGGTTGAAATCAGCTTTTTTTCTTACGTAGAAAATCTTTCTTGCGAAAAAGAAATAGTTCAGACCAGGCGAGCCTAAAATTCTATCGGATTGCTCAGTCTGAGATGAGAACGTCTCTGTACCGAGTGGACTCTTTCGACGCTTGGCTCGAACAAAAATAAGCTAATTGGATATTCCCCATGTAATCAAAAGCTATGAGTACAATGATCAGAAGGCTTACTATTGTTTTCAAATAAATACTACTAAATGATATGGCTTGCCAACTCAAGTATTTCTTGGTATTTATTTTGTACTATCATAGATAAGGTAAAGTATTCGTTGTATCCTTTCTTTTGTTCGACGACGCAGTATGAAGAATAAAATTCTCTCGTGCAAATATAATCTTTTCAAGTAATGCTCGTATCATACGCATAGGTGCTCTCGTTTAATATGACATACAGGTCTTCAAATTATTTGCTCTCACTAAACTATAATATTACGATACCTATTTACAAGGATAATGAAACGGTTCAGCGTCGAAGTTATTTAATGGATGATGTGATTCGAACGAAGCTATTGCCTTATGAATCACATTCAAACGAAGTTATTCCGCCCTACATAGAGAAACTTAGAGCAAAGGCAGCGCAAAGCAGCGCGGTCCATCTAATAAATGAAAATAATTCAGTTTCTCATCCAGAATCAAACGCACTGGGTGATGGAAAAGACAAAGAAGAGTTTACACTCGTTTGGCTCGATCAAAGACTTGATATTGACAAACCTGATTTGCGCAATTTGGCTACATTGCGTGATGTCGTTGATTTTCTTCAGGTTTTTACTAATCCAGATTCCTGTTTTGAATATATTTCGAAAATTCCACATAGTAATGTGCATTTAATTGTCTCAGGATCAATGGGTCATAAAATAGTACCTAGAGTACATGATTTGGGACAAATACGTTCCATTTACATCTTATGTCGACGAAAGCAAGAACATACGAACTGGGCATCAAAGTATGCTAAAATACGTTCAGAAGATATCTTTACCAATGTAAAACCTCTGATTGAAAGACTCAAAACTGATTTATACAAGTGCCAAAAAGTGCGTGGAATCAGTTACAAAATAGAGAGATCAATTGTTGATGTTCATAACGATGAAGTAAATTTTCAATGGTCTTACCGTTTAACGCAGACACTTATCTCGTGGTCACGAAGTTCCAAAGCTCAGGACCAAATGATTGAATATATGCGGCATTGTTCCCAAGAAAACCAATCTCGTATTTTGTTTTTAGACGACCTTGCTAGACATTACACTGCAACTGATGCTATTCAATGGTATACAAAAGCTGGTTGTTTATTTCAACTTGTGAACCGAGCACTTCGCGACGAGAGTATCGATGAAATCTTCATTTATCGCTCTTTTATCAAGGATCTTTCCGAGCAGCTCACTTTACTCCACCATGAACAGCGGAATTCTAGAGATAAAGAATATTGTTTATATAGAGGTACTCGTCTACCATACGATGATATCGCTGTTTTGAAAGCTAATCAAGGTAAGTTAATTTCATTTAACGGATTTCTCTCGACCAGTTTAGATCGACAAATCGCATCCCTTTTTATACAACCAAGCAATGAGCAGGAGCAAGTCGAAGCTGTCTTGTTCGAATACCATGTCAATACTAGCCTTGATACATCTGCATATGCATACATTGGTTTTCAGAGTCTCATTCCTGATGAGAAAGAAGTTCTGTTTGACATTGGTGCTGTCTTTCGAATAGACTCTGCGAAATATGATTCTGATGAGAAAATTTGGTTGGTACGTTGTATATTATGTGAAAAAAAAGACCTTGGGCGACTTCACATTGAAGGACTCGACAGTAGTACTGAGGGTTTTTTAAGTTTTGTTCAGTATGGTCGTCTTTTAATCGGGATGTGCGAGTTGCAAAGAGCACGAATATTCTTTGACATGCTATCGAATGAAGCAACTAATGATAGTGCAAAAGCTATATGTCTTGTGGGCCTTGCTGACATCTATTCAATGATTGGTGATCGTATTAGGTTCTCTCAAATATACCAGAAGGTATTAAACTATCTTCCTGCTCTGAACGAAAAATTAGATGGCATGAACAAATTTGTCGATCTGAATTGGAAGCTTGGTTGTGTCTGCAGTACAGCAGGAAACTTTGACGACGCTCTCTATTGTTTCGGTATCTATATGTCACGAATGGAGGACGAAAACAGCATTGAAAACCGAATATCGTTGGCGGTAACGGTAGGTGCCGTTGGTCATGTGTACTATCAACTTGGTGACTATACAACAGCACTACTATATTATCAACAGGAGGCAAAATTAGCTGAAGAATTCTACGCTACTACAATGAACCAAGCGACTTTGTACGGACGTTTGGGGGCAATATATATAGAACGAAATGAATATGATAAGGCTCTTGATTATTTAGGTAAAGCACTTGATATTGTACGCAAAATTCTTCCTTCAAATCATGTAAATCGACATGTGCTAAACAACAGTATTGGTTTAGCGTACCTTAATAAGGGCTATCTGGAATCAGCGTTGGAATACTTTACAACTGCTCTAGAATTGTTTTCACAAAAATTAGAACTAAATATGTTTACTGAAGGTGTATATGCTAATCTTGGTTATCTGTACCGATTGCAAAATAAATTCGATCTTTCATTCATGTGTTACAAAAAAGCAGCTGAGTTACATTTGGGGCGAAATCCAGGATCTTCTCATCCAACTTTGGCTGCTGTATACGTTCAAACTGCTATTCTATTGAGGAGTCAATCCAAATTTGATGCCGCTGAAAATCTCCTCTCCAAAGCACATGCTATGTATCAAAAACGCAACATGCCTCACAAGATTGCAGAATGTTTCGCGGAAATAAGTTCTTTGCATTTAGAAAAAGGAGATATGACACGCGCTTTAATCTTTATGGCAAAGACTCTTTCCATTCGCAAGCAAATTTGCGGTGAAAATCACGTAAATGTTGGAGTTACTTACAGCAATATGGGCACAATATGGCTTCAGCTGGGAGACACTGAACGTGCTCTTCATTTTATTGCAAAATCGTTATTAATTTTAAAATTCTCCTCTACCATTCCACGACTTGAATGTGGAAATGCCTATGAAGTTCTGGGATCCATATATGTAAGCAGATCAAGCTATCTATTAGGAATAAAATATATGAAGAAATCGGTAAAAATTCGTAGGATGTACTTAGCTGAAGATCATTTCCAAATAGGGGCAACATATCGTCGATTGGGACAAGCTTATGGATTTCTTAAAAGCTTTGATATAGCTTTCAAGTACCTTCAGAAGGCACGAGTCGTAGGTGTTAAATCTTATTTAATTGATCGTGATATAGGTGACATTTATAGCATGCAACAGAACAATGCTCAGGCTTTGGAGTCGTATAACATGGCACTTGCCAATGCGAAATTGAAATGTGACGGTAATCACGAAGAAATTGCCGAAATCTATTTGAGAATAGGTGGCACATATAGTTTACGAAAGGATTATGATTCGGCAGCAGAAAATTATATGAAAGCTCTGGAATATAACGAAAGTAGCACATATAACAAACGAGAACTTATATGTAAATATTCAATGTATTTGGCGAGGGCACTCAGACTGGGAGGTCAATGTATTAAGGCAATCGTTTATTTTCAA